ATATGTTCACAGTTGTGTACGATTACCTTATTTAATGATGATTGGACAAATTAATTGGAACCAAACCACTGGTGAGATAAAATGTTTAGGTAATTGATCATTATATACTTGTTTAAATCATACCATGAACATTAATTTTTCTAAAGATAGTTTATATATCTTGAAGGCAAGAATTGGCATTTGGTTACCAGTAAAACTTAATCTACCATGGCAGGACTCCCCTGCTGCTTGTTTCTTACAATATGTAGCTGAGACTTTGCTAAATCGTTAAACCACAAATGGCAAAAACAAAAAGGGGGAGATGAAGGAAATAGCTAATGGACTTCTGTGGTCAGCACCCAAGGACGTGTTCACTTGGTGAACTTGCAAATTAGTTAACCAAGAAATGTCAAGGATTGCAAACAAGACATTCAGCTGAAGGTCACCTGGCTCCAATGCCAGGCAGGCATAGAGGGAGGCATGAGTTTATTGAACCCCATCATAGGCATATTCTTCTCAGGCCTGCCTCTTCCCACAAGTTCTCATTGCTACAGAAACACTTACAGAACCAACACAGATAAGTAGAGGGTGTCCCAGTCCCTTACTGGCCCTGACCCACATGTTCTGAAGAACTGGGACTTTTAATTCCTATTGCCCTAATCTTTGAGTTTGCGAACCCTGGAGAAATCCCATGCCCAGGATCCGAAGTCCACGTCAGACTTTATGTTGAGGCATTCACATTTCTCTCAGTCTGTGTAGAGAGGTGTAAGCAGTTATACCAAGAACTAGTACCAAGATGTGCAAATGCTTAGAGGTTAAGACTATACTGGGAGTGTTCAGGAAACCTCACATCTACTTTCTTTTGAGTGGGAACAGAGAGCAGGAGTGCAGGTCAGGACAGGATGCCTGCCTGGAAAGCAAAATACCTATTCTGGAGATAATGGGAGGTTTGGGTCAGAAGAGGAAGGTAGTCTTAACAGACTCCATCTATCTGCAGGGTGGAAAACAGACTGGGGTGGACTGAAGAGGCAGAAAGACCAGGGTGGAGGCTTCTGCCATAGTGCAGGTGAGAGTTAATGGACTAGAGTGTGTTGGCTTATGAATGGTTGGATTCTGGATGCGTGTTTTAAAAGGGGGCTACTAGAGTTCCTGCTGTGGATGGTGAGGTAATTAATATTCAGGATGACCCCAGAGATTTTAGTCTTAGCAGCTGTAGGGATGGAAGAAGCTCGATCAACTGAGAAGGAGAAGATTATCGTATGAGTAATGTTCATGGGGATATTGGCTTTGTTTTGGCCATGTTAAGAGTCTGAGGTGTTTCATATACCACTGAGTGGAGACACACAGGTCTGGAAATCTTGGGGGTGATAATGTGACTACTCTGTACACCACGGGGACAGGATAGTCTGTCAAGTGGCCAAGACTTCTAAACGAAGAGTGTGCATGAGGTGTTTCAGAGGCAGATGAGTAATTGAGGGAAGATGATACTCAGGCTGGAGCTGATGCTTATTCACCACTGTATAAACCCACCAGAAATTTGTGATGACTTTGGTGGGGTCTGGGGTGTTTAATTCAGCCTGGAAGATACAGTCAGGTGCATGTGTGGTCATCTGTGGATGTAGTCATTGGGTGGGCAGTCAATGGGGCTGGGCTTTTAATGAGTGTTAGGTGGACAGAGGAAGGTTATAACTCCTGAGGGGACAGCAAATGCAGTGCAGGAGTGGAATAGGGCCATGGATATCTGAGGTACACACTTGGTTCTGTGTGGCTAAGTCTAAGGCAAGGAACAGAGCCAAGCAGAGAGGCCTTCATAGGATTCAGGGCTTCTACTGCTAGTGGGAGCCATGAGAATTCTGGTTAGTATTGGATCCTGTTTGATGTGGCTAGCATACTCTGCTTGCTGTGTGCTCAGTAGTGGAGTAAGGACTAATATGAAGGCCATTATTATGGGTTGCATTGACATCTGGTAAAATTAGAGGCCTCAAATGGCCTGAGTACCAGTTCCCTTCCCCACACTACTCCCACAAATAAGATCTCCTAAGGAAATAATGCTTTTCATTAAGTGGAACATGTGCAGTTCCTGCTAATCCATTGGTAGTGGGTTTTAGTTTCCTAACAGCCCTTGGAGTAATTCAGATAAGCCAGTTGCATCCTCCCAGAAAACAGGGGAACACCTTACCTTGCATGCATCCCACAGTCCCTGGTTGTTCACTCTTATCCAGAGTGCAACCCGTGAGTGGTTCCTGTCTACCAGGTTATGAATATATATGCTTAGTAAACTGCTGTCAATCTTATTTGCCCAGTGTCAGGTATCGTGTGTTTAATCATCCCCATAACTGTAGGGCAAAATCTCACCTTCACCAGTGGGGCAAAGAGGTAGTGATTAAAATACAAGTAAAATGTGGAGAGGTCAGGAGAATACCTATGGTGTGGAGCAGTGAGGTGGTGACTGCCATGGACATAGGGCTGTGTTATCTGGAGTTATGAGGTACTTGCAGTCTAAAGAATGATGTGCTCTTGGAGAAGGAGTAACCCTGACAGCCCCCAGAGCTGTGTTATTGAGACTTTCATGACCGTGGGCATTCCAGAGGTAATTGCTGTTTGTCCTCTTGCCCTTGGTCCTGATGACTAAGCCCAGTGATCAGTGGGCTCATGAGGGGACAGTAGCATGAGGGGGACCGGGGCCTGGCTTCTTCTCTAAGTTGGGGGATTTGGGAGGGTGGTGTGAGGTACATACATGGGGGAATGGATTGTGGGTTCTCATGGAGGAGTTCTTTGTGGTTTTATCTGTTCCCATCCTTGCAGGGCAGTGTGATCTTTGAAGATGTGGCCGTGCAATTCTCCTGGGAAGAATGGGGTCTCCTTGATGAGGCTCAGAGACACCTGTACCATGATGTGATGCTGGAGAACTTGGCACTTATAATCTCCCTGGGTAAGTCCTCACACCCACTCCTGTACCTTGAGATAGTCTTTCTGTCCCCTTTCCCTCAGGGACAGGTCTGTTCTTGTCACATTAGAACTGTGGGCATAGCTTCGTTCCCCACTCCTGGGTAGGTGGTGTAGTTGATAGGGCTGAGGTTGTGTGCATTGCCCTGTCCTCTCCTTGAGCAGCCCCAACATCTGCTACCCTTAAGCCTGGCAGGAGAGGATCCAGGGTCAGGAGTCTTGCAGTCACTCTAATGGATCCTACCTTGCTTGTCCTCTCCCAGGCCAAGTGACATTCCCATATCCAAGGCACTGTCTCTTCCAGGTACTACTTCTTTCCTCTAGCTAACATTTCTTCATTCCTGCTTGTGCATCTGTTCTGTCTTTCCCGTAGTACTTGCATCATCCATGCACAGTGTAGCTGCTCATTGAGGGGGTGGTGTGGTGAGTTCTTGGTGATGGTTCACAGGATGGATACAAAACAGCTGCAGCTCGATGAGCTCAGATGGAACCTGGCTCTCAGGAGTTGCCTGGCAGGGAGGCAGGGGTAGGATGGGATTACATAAGAGCTGGGTGCAAATTATACTAGAAACCTATTCTGTTTGAGTAGTCCTTTGGTGCCAATGATAGTTGGCTCCCATTCCTCATTACTGCCTTTCTTTCCCTATTCTTTACACTTAGCTGCCTTGTCCATTCTACTACTTGTCACTTCTACTCTTACTTCCAGCTCAGGGCCAATTCCCACATCTCTGGACTTCATGACTTACCCATTTTTTTCACTGCTTCATCTGCAGTGTCCCTGCCTCTCCTTCCTTTGTCAAACCCCATATTTGTGTCTTTCACCCATGAGGCCTCCCCCATTCTGTGACTTAGGGACCAGGTTTTCCTAAACAACCTCATCCTCAACTTGAAACCAACCTTCTGTCCTGCAAACAATCCCATGGACTCATTCCTGGGTGTGTTAGACACATACAAGGATACCTAAAGAAGTTTGTGGAAAAATACAATTAAAAGATAATACAAATCTTTGCATGAGCCTTTTGAAGTACCCTCTTATTTGTAATGGAACTGCTTCATCCCGCAGGGTCAGCATGTACTATATCATCATTTCTTTGCTTTAGATTGTTAGTATGAAGCAGAAGATGAGGAAGCACCTTCTGAGCAGACTGTTTCTATAGGTGTGTTGCAGGTCAGGACTCCCAAGTCAAGTTCGTCTACCCAGAAAGCCAATCCTTGTGAGATGTGCAGCCCGATCTTAAAAGACATTGATCACTTGGCTGAGCATAAGGAAACACATGGTGGGCAGAAAATGTACATGCGTTGGGCATGTTAGAAACAATTCTATTTTAGTACAAATCATGAGTACCAAAAGCAGTTCATTGCAAAGAAGCCCTTCAGAAGTGATGTGAGCAGATCCTCATTAGTGAAGAGCTACAAATTCCATGAGTCAGGGAAGTCATTTACATCTAGGGAAGTTGGGAAGGACTTCCTGGCCAGCTCGGAATTTCTTCTGCAACAGGCCACTCATAGTAGGGAAAAGTCAAATGGTGGAACCCAGTGTTGGGCAGCCTTTCACAGGGGAAAAACTCATTACAACTGGAGAGAATGCAACAAAATCTTCAGCCACAAATATGCACCTGAACAGCACCAGAGAGTCCTCACCAGAGAAAGATGTTACATGTGCAGTGAATGTGGGAAGTCCTTTAGCCACAGCTCTAGCCTCATCAAACACCAGAGAGTTCATACTGGAGAAAGGCCTTATAAGTGTGGAGAATGTGGCAAGTCTTTTAGCCAAAGCTCCAACCTCTTTTAACAATGGAGAGTTCACACAGGAGAAAGGCCTTACGAATGCAATAAATGTGGGAAATCCTTTAGCCAAAGGTCTAACCTCATTCAACATCAGAGAATTCACACTGGAGAAAAGCCTATGAGTGCAGTGAATGTGGGAAATCTTTTAGCCAAAGCTCTGCACTCCTGCAGCACCATAGTGTTCACACTGGAAAAAGGCCTTATGAGTGCAGCAAATGTGGGAAGTTCTTTACCTACAATTCCAGTCTCATAAAACACCAGAAAGTTCACACTGGAGAAAGGCCTTATGAGTGCACTGAATGTAGGAAATCCTTTAGCCATAATTGCAGCCTTATTCTGCATCTGAGAGTTCATACTGGAGAAAGGCCTTATGAGTGCAGTGAATGTGGGAAGTCATTTAGCCAAAGGTCTGCACTTCTTAAACACCAGAGAGTTCACACTGGAGAAAGACCCTATGAATGCAATGAATGTGGGAAATCCTTTAGGCAAAGTTCCAACTTCAGTGACCATCAGAGAATTCACACTGGATAAAGGCCTTATGAGTGTGGCCAGTGTGGGAAATCTTTTAGCAAAAGCTCTGGCCTTACTCGACACCAGAGAGTTCACACTGGAGTAGAGCCTTATAAGTGTGCTGAATATGAGAAAGCCATCAGCCAAAGGCCTTATCTCATCTGGTGCCATGAAGTTCCCATGGGAAAAATGCCTTAGTTGTACTGAGAATGTGTTGTCTTGTTCAGTATGAAAACATTCATATGATGGTGTCCCTTATGAGGACACCATCTGCCTGAATTGAGCCTCATTCATTCACACGTCCACATAAGTTTCAAGTATGTGGATAGCTTTAAGAAGCTGGTTACACTTTTAAACCTGCCCAGGACTCTTGCCAGATTTTTTTTATCACTGTCAGTACTGTAGTCTAAGCCATTTGACCTCTTCTACCTGGCAGGAACCCACAGTGTGCATCATACACCCACCTCAGTATGCTTAGGGAAGTAAACCTCTGTGCTCTCCCAGTTGTGGGAAGGATTCATGAAAAGCCCAAGTGCTCATTTTTTTCTGATGAGCTAGGGCATGAATCTGACCTATTTGGGGCCCAGAGGACTGGATCTGAGTTCTGATGAATTGAGAAGATGAACTACCTATCTTCTTCAAAAGGGATATTGTTGGCCTTACATGACTTTCATGATGGAATTTTTCAGCCTCCAAGTCATCAACACAGGAAAAGCCTGCCTGTCATTGCTCCAATTTGTGCAATAATAAGGGCCTTATTGTTTAAGACACCTTTAATCTGGGGAGTTCTATTTACTTTATAGGATGGTTTGAGAATAGGGTTCTGCCAGAATGAAAGAAACAGCTTTTGTCACCATACCAAACTTTGTGTGCCTCAGAAGGGATGGGATTATGGCAAAAACTAGTTATTTTTCCAGTTTGGGCCTAGTTTGCATTGCCACCCAGTGCCTTCAAGGAAAGACGTTGTTTTTCCTCCAAAGAAAAGGGGTTTGGTTATACTTTATAGCCATTATATTGCATGAGTTCAGAGCTCACCCTGAGGAGGGGCAATTATGAGAATTTCCAGTACTTCTAGGAGCAACATGAAACATTCCTTTTGTTCACAGGTGATATTGCATAATGCCAAGTACTAGTGAGAGAAATCTCTTCCCCAGTTCTGCAGAGGAGCCATGTGTTCTGTTTAGAAATCTGTAGGAGAGGAAAATGGCGACGGGTCTGGAGCACCCGTGTCAGGAAACAGCGCGATTCTGAGAGCTGTGTGCTGTGATACCAGAGTATTGACTGCATTTCTAAGAGCAACAAAGGACG